TTTTTTTTTTTTTTTTTTTTTTTTTTTTTTTTTTGCTTTTTGGTGAGGCAATCAGGATTAAGCGACTTGCCCGGGGTCATACAGCTAGTGAGTGTCAAGCGTCTAAGGCGGGATTTGAAGTCAGGTCCTCCTGACTCTAAGGCCGGAGCTCTATCCACTGCACCATCTAGCTGCCCTGCTTATTTTCAAAGATGAGGAAAACTAAGGCACAGAGGGGTTCAGTGCTTGTCAAAAGTCGGATGGGCTCTTTTGTTTGTGATTATTAATATGTTATTATTAAAATCTTATGACTATATTTTTGGGGAGAGGTAGATAGCTATTAAAAAAAAAAAAAGCAAACCACTTGCAACCTTTTCTTCCCCTCAAATGAATACCTGATGTGTTGTTTTTGAATTGTGTGTCTCTATGTCATGCAGCCTGGAAGTACAGCAGACACTCCTGGGCCCCCGTGTCCCACCCTTCCCCCACCACCAGCCTCAGCCTCAGCCCTGAAAGGAGCAGGGACGATAGGCCCAACTGGCCCAACACAATAACTGAGACTGCCATGGATACTTTAAACGTCTAGGAAGCACTTTACATATACTATCTCATTTGAATAACCCTGTGATGCAGGCGCCGTGATATTTTATTATCATTATTTTACAGATGGGAAAAAGGGCTCAAACAGATTAAGCAGGAGGCAGTATGATACAGAGGAAAGAGCCCTGACTTTGGAACCTGAGGATTTGGGTGGGAATCCCATTATCTCTGAGACTGTGGGCAAGCCTGATGGAAGCGGGATTAAACCCCATGACTGTAACTTGCTCACGTCCACGTGCTGACTGTCAGAGGCAGGATTCAAACTCGACTTTTGACTCAGTCCGACTCTCTAGGCACTCGGCCTCCCATCCTCCAAGCATTTCTTATGGAGGCAAGAGCAATCAATGGGGTGCAACTGGGAGCCACAGCACCTTCCAGGGACAGGAGGGCGCTTCATGTTGGGGAGGAAGACGATGTTTTTTTTTTTCTACAACTGTTGATTTTGATTTGGAGAATTAAATAGTAAGATGTGCCATATGCTGAAATCGCTTTGTGCTTTTAACTCAAGTTTTGCTAGTCAAAACCAAAAAGCTCCCCAACTTTGTTGGCCCATCACTAAACAGGAGAAGCCCTGGCTTCCCCAGACGGAGCTGATCCCCAATCGGAAACTTAACCATGGTTTGTAGCTCTGGGATCAGCTGGGTTCCCACACCTTTCTCTAGTGAGTTGTCTGTTTACTAAAGAATACCATATTTTGACTACTACAGCATGCTATTTGCATGGGGGAGGGGGAGCCCCCTGCGTGTTTTAAATGACTCATCTGGGTTCTTTTTGGCCACAGGGCAGAATCAGGTGCCACGGGCGAGGTCACAGAGACAAATTTAGGCTTGATTTCAGAGGAAACTTCCAAACAATTTGAGTTGCTCCAATGTGGACCAGGCTGACACAGGCAGTAGAGAGCTCCTCCCCCACTGGAAGCTTTCAAGCAAAGGCAAGATGACCACTTTGGAGTATTTTATTTGAGAGATGGGAGCATTCATTCTACTTCACTGGTCTAAAAGCCCCTTCTAGACCCACCGCCAGGCCAGAAGTAGGTTGAAGACAAAAGGTCTTTCTTAGGGAAATTGACTAAGAGTAGAAACCAAACTGAACAAAGAACCTTCTATGGGTGACTTCCGCCCTGGAACCTCCAGGGCACTTGCTAGTGCTACCACCACTAGTCTGGCTTGCTGCCAACCAGGCTCAGCCCTGGACTTTTTATACTACTCTTCCACCTTCCTTGAGGGTATGGATTGTCCTTTTCTGTAGACCTTGCATTCCCACTACTCTGCCCAGTACCTGGCACACAGGAACATCCATCTCACTCTTGTACAATGAGTTCTCTCTCCCATTCCCAGAAGGGACAGGCCTCCCAAAGGGAAAGAAAGGTGCCTTTGGAAAAGGTCTTTCCAGTACTTGAGGGGAGTGGTCAAGGGAGGAACTGAGGCATTCCAGTTGAAGAGCAGGTGACTGTGGTTCTGCAATGTAACCCCCAAACTGTATCACAACATAGTATGACATTTTCCTGGTTCAATATTCCTCCAGCTATCATTCAGTTTGCCTTGGTGAAGAGAGAGGTCTCAGGGCATGGGGAGACTACAGCCACTAGACATTTCTCTCTCTGGGCTAGAAATGCTGGCTTTAGAATAACGTTAAATTAATAAACATTGTTTCTGGCAGACATGCCTAAAAATGTAGAGAACTACATTAATAAGTTTTGTTCTATATAAGTAGTATTGGGAAAGAATGTACTAGCAGTTGGGGGATCAGGAAATGCTTCATATAGAAGGTGGTGAAAAGTTCTCAAAAGTTAAATTCTTAAGACGCACAGAAAAATCATTTTCATAAGAAAGAAAAGGGCAGGGGTTTGGGATTTGTCTTAAGAGACCAGTATGTTTGCACAGGAAATTCAATCAGTTTAGATTTTTCAAAGCCATAGACCGTAACACTCTACACTACCACTGCCCCCACCTCCCTTGGGAATGCAGTTTTCACCATTAGACTGTAAACTCCTTGAAAGCAGGGACTGTCTTTTTGCTTGTATGTGTATCCTCAGCGCTTAGCTGAATGCCTGGCACAAGGTAATTACTTAATAAATGCTCATAGTCTGGAAAAGATAAGGGGCAGGGGAGGGAAGAGAAGTAGTGTTTAAATAAAAAAAAGAAAGAAAGAAAGAAAGAAAGAAAGGAAAAAGAAACCTTTATTCCAGAAGCTAGCTCATGGAAGGAGGAGGAGCATATTTGTTCTTCTTTTCCAGAACTGGGTTGGGGGTGAGGGGACAGGAAAAGGGAGTCATAAACTATTAGATTTCAGTGTAACATACACAAGGACTTTCCTGGAGCAAATGTAATGTAATGGGTTGGCCTCTGGGAGGTAGCAGATCTTTAAAGAGAGGCTGGCTAACTTGTCATGGAGGCTGCTGGAGAAGGGATTTCCTATTTAGTTTGGATTGGATTAGACAGTACCTCAGGTTCCTTTTATGAAATTCTAGGATCTCTTGCTACCTGGAGGCCCCACTGACATCTCCCAGCTGATTGATAGGATCTGCCCTCCAGGCATTCTCTCTTCTTTTGGTGGTTGCACCACCATTTCCTCAGCCTGTGACATCAGTAACTTGGGATTTGTCACAGGATCCCAAATCTGATGAACACTGATTAGAAGGGACGATGGGGATGGTCTAGTTCAACTTTTCCATTTTACAGATAATGAAACTGAGGCCCCAAAGAATAAATACCCTGTGCAAGATCACAGAGGCAAGAGGAAGAGAGATGGAGGCCAGGGAACCCCAAGTCCTTCAGCTCCCAATCCAAGACTCTTTCCACTCCTTCAGATCATTCCCAAGTCCTTTTGCCCCCCCACCCTGACATCTTCTACCTGGCTTCCTCCTCTCTGTTCCTCTCTATGGACTATTGCAAAGTTTAAACTCTTGTGCCTGATATCCAAAGGCCTTTAAGCCCTCTGGGACCCTCCTTTGTCTCACAACGCCACCCGCCACCCACCACCCACTCAAGGCATGAACCAAACCATAAGAGGAGGAGGGTCAGCAGCACCAGCAGCTTATGTTGTTCAGCCTCCTCTGACTCTCTGTGACCCCATTTGGGGTTTTCCTGGCAAAGACACTGCAGTGGTCTGCCATCTCCTACACCAGCTCATCTTACAGATGAGGCAACTGAGGCAAACAGGGTGAAGTGACTTGCCCAGGGTCACACAGCTGGTAAGTGTCTGAGGCCACATTTGAACTCAGGTCTTCCTGACTGCAGGGCTGGCACGCTATCCACCGTACCGCCGAGCTGCTGTAGTAATAGCGGCAGCAGCCAGCTCTTCAATAGCACTTTAAAGTTAGCGAAGTGCTAGACGAACATTGTCTCATTAGAGCCTCATGACAACCCTGAGAGGTAGGTGCTGTTATTATCACCCCCGGTTTACAGAAGAGAAAACTGAGGCAGGCAGAGGTGAAGTGACTTGCCCAGAGTCACACGTAAGTGAATAAGGCCAGATTTGACCTCACATCTTGACTCCCGGCTCAGGACTCTATCCCCTGTGCCCACAGCCACAAAAAATTCTGTGCTGAAAATGTGTTCATTTCTTAGTTCTGTAGCTCTGCTCATGCTGCTGCCTCTACCTGAAAGGCCTCCCTCTCCCCCTGTGCCTGCTGATTTCTCAGTCACCCTTCAGAGCCCAATGAATGAAGTGCCACATTCCCTATGAAGCCTGCCCGATCACCTCGGGTGGTGACAACCCTCTCTGCTCAGACCTCACAAGGCATAGTCTTTATAACTCTCAAAGGCACTCAGAGAATATTGGGCAACTCAACGTGTTTGAGGAACTACACAGGAAAAAAGTACATGGGAAGTCATGACAGCAATGTGTGCCCAGAAAAAACAAGGAGCAAGGCCACATTGATGGACAAGAGCCCACAGGCTCCAGTGCTATTCAGCTGAAGGGAGGCTCCCAGCATTGGGGATGTGCCCTCTGGAACTGAGGGTTTATGGGCAAACATGGACGAGAGCTCCCCAGCACAGGCAGGCAGGGATGAGCTGCAATCTGCATTAATGGAGGAACACTCATCCGTGTGGATGAAATCATCACACTCCAGAGTGTCTGAATGCTGTTTTCTGGATCAGAACCAAACAGATAGACTGGTCTCACCTGCTTTGCTCCACAGGCAGAATGTAGGCAATCTAGTGGAAGGGTGGACTATGAGACAACAAAAGATCACTGCAACGCTTCAGGGCTCTGCGCCTGGCATCAGTATGAGCCCTGCCCATCTTGGCAGAGGGGGCCCACACACCTTCCCTGCAGCCATCCTGGTGCAGCGGACCCACTCAGCACCTCACAGAGCTCCGATGGGCCAGCCAGGCCTCAGCAAACAGCCCCGTGGCCCATCTCTGAGCCCTTCCAGCTTTCTGGGTCGGGCCAGAGAATGCATTCTGTGGGAACAGCCCAGGCAAATACTATCCTCTTTTCAAATAAAAGGAAATCTTACCACTGTGGGAAAGAAACAGCACAAAGCAAAAAAAAAAAAGCTCCTAAACTATGAGGCTTTTAAAGGAAATTAAACCCTTGAAAGACTTACCTAATAAATTAATGCCATCATTCACAATAAGCTGTCCATGACGTAGGTAGTTCAGAATGGGTTCAAAATACTCAGGACTTCGGTCAATCAGGAAAGCTCCTCTGTGATCTTGCTTATTTCCCCAGGCACCTGTGGTCCCATTTAGACAAAAAAAAAAAAAAAAATTTTAGAAAATAAAATGTATAGGTAGTATTGTGACTTTTTAATTTTTATAAGAATTGCTCACATCATGAAATGGCAAAGAATAGCAGTGTTATAAGCCATTTTCCCAAGAGATCCCACAAAGTCTGGGGAAGGTGTGTCCTACTCACCTTTGTCCTTAAACATGTGGGCCAGCATACTGTCAGGTTCTTTATTCACTAAAGTGCTCCTAAGAATTCAGAGGAAAAAAAAAAAAGATGATTTCTCCTTTGTCTTTATAAAGAAACCTATTTAGTCAAGAATCTAGTGGATCCCAGCTGTTCTCAAAAAGGCTCATGATCTGACCTGGTAGGAATAAAGCTGAGATGCAAATACTGAGTGAGCTGCTGCTTCTGCAGGTGCTAACTGGCATTTCCTTGGACTGATCCTCCTAGGAGGTGATCATAGCCCAAAACGTGGGAGGTCAATGAGCCCACAACTTTCCCATACACTTCAGAGAAGCAAATGACAAGGCCACTACCACTTCAATCTGTCCTAAATGGCACATTTCGGAAGCATAAGTCATGACACCAACGCCTCCTCTGTCACACTTCCTACATTCTCTCTGACAAAGGCCAGAGCGAAATCCTCCCCAGACAACAGGAAGTCTTTGATCATTTTTGCTTTGTGAGACCTTAGACGAGTTGTTTCATCTGCACAACCTCGATTTCCTCTCCGTAAGCGAGTGGGGCAGAACCAAGGTTCCTGAAGAATGGCCCTCTGGAGCCCAAACATTCCCAGTCAGTCAATTGGTTTCTGGCTGCTGTTTATCCAAAGGGCACTTGAAGGATTTAGGAGGCAGTGAATAATGTGAATTCAAAGAACTCTAGGAAGGTACGGCCTTTCAAAAAGAATTAGGAAGGTGTATTCCTACCGTGTGGTTGTAAAGTACCGTCCTCCCACGTTTAGAGTTAGCCAGTCTGTGTGAGCTCCCGTTGGCCCTTCAGATAGCTTCAGATCTGTTTGAGGATCTGCCGAGGGAAGAAAGAAGGCAAGATGACCTTGGGCTTGTCTGGTGCTCCCTAAGGAATTCAGAGGTTCCTTACGGATGGGCCCGAATTATCCTCAGCTCTGGACAACAGAGAGGACGCCATCATTATCTCTAATTCGGAGATAAGAGAAGTGGGGGTTTGACTTCCCAAAACCATGGAGAAAGTGCAGCATTGTGGAGGCACAAGGAGTTCCTAATTTGTAAGCAGGTTGGGTTTCCAAAAGCTGTAGTTACTGTGATTGGAACTAGGACTGGATTTTGCCATAGAAACAATGCTAGAAATATGGCGAAGTCTCCAGGCTACCCCACAAAAGTTTTTATAATCTACTAAGGTTTTCAAAATTATGCTAAGAATAAGAGAAGCCGAGGAGAACTTGGTTCTTCTTTCCCAAAGGCAGAGCCAGCTCAGGGCAAAATTTTGAAATCAACCAAACTCCTGCTGGCTGGGCCCTTCACACTTTATTCCTAGCTCCTCCCTGACTCTGGAGGGCCCGAGCTCACACCAAAGGCTCCCGAGTACAAGACCGGCCCTGCTCCAAAATGCTCCCTGCTTTAAATCGAGCCATTCCATTGCTTTCTCAGCCATAACCACTTATAATGAAGCAAACAAGTTTTATTGAAGCAAGGTCCTATTGAAGCCTTAAAATGTTTTGTTCAACAGACAAAATTCTATTTCTCTTGAACTTCAGAGACATTTTTCCCCAAAAGATGATTTTTGCCATTGACTATACTGTCAGAAAGAAAACTCACATTAAGTAGAAATATCTAAACTGTCTAGTGTTTTTAAAATGACTTAATATTTTATTTTTCTACATGTGAAAACCATTTTAAAAAATTTATTTTTCATAATTTTGAGTTTCAAATCCTCTCCCTTCTTCCTTCTCCTCCTTGCTCATTGAGAAGGCAAGCAATTTGATATCAGTTATACATGCACAGTCGTGCAAAACATAAAATGTGTAGTTAAAGAGATATCCACACTATCACTGCCAAAGAAAATATGAAGATTAAGTTAAACTTTCTAAAAACAGAATAACTTTATTTCTGATTTCTAGACCTATTCCCATCAGTTTTAAACACATAAAAGAGTCATTCCCAACAAAGAATGACTGACTGTCTCTTCGGTATGAAATACGCTGCCGAGTCAGAATGCTGACACAAGCATGAAAGGCCTACCACAAGATCCTTTTCAATGTCCAATTTTGCCCAATATCAACATTTCATCTTTCACTTCATTTCGTCAAGAGAGTTTAATTTATAGGTCACTTACCAATAAATGGTTCTCCTTCACATACAAAGAGAACATCGTCATCTCTGCGGGGAAAAAAGATCTGTCAGTACAGTTTAGTTCGGCCGGGTTCTGAAATCCCAGCAGTTAGTTGGTTCTGATGTGAGAGCAGGGGCCCCTTTTGGCAATTTGATGAAGCCTATGGATCTCTTCTCAGAAGAATATTTAAAAGCATAAAATAGATAGCATTACAAGGAAACCCAATTATGTTGAAAAAGTTAAAAAAATTTTTTTTAAAGTTCACGGGCCCAAGGTAAGAACCATGTGTTAGATAATTCTCAGCCTCGCATATACTAATGCCGAGAGGTCAAATAAATTGTCCAAAATTTTAGTACTTTGAATTCTGCCACCTGTTGGGCTTGAAATATAACCACTCATTTGAATGTAAATTTCATCAACTTCAAAAAATACCAATGCATTCCAAAGACATGGTTAAAATCATAGTCACCTCTTAACTTGTTTCCATATCTCATTTTTAATCCATGGATATTTTCCCCCTTATTAAACCCATCTCTCTCTCTCTCTGTATGTGTATATATATCTATATATCTATATATATCTGTGTATACTCCTGAATTATCTCTGTGTATATTCCTGAATTATCCAAGCCATCAGTTAATGAAAAGTTCACTAAGAAAAAAAGTACTAATAAGACAAATCTAATGCCCCTCTGCCCCCTGCCAATCTCCTAATGTCCATTTGCCTCAAAGGTGGGTAACACGGGTATCACCGATGCTTGAGATGACCTTTGTCTAAGCTCTCCTCCACTAGTGCCTAACATTGAGAGGAGACCATGCTACCTGTGAAGCCTGGAGTTAGCAATTGTACCATGCAGAAGGGCCCTGTTGAGACTTTCTGTTCTGGAAGAGTTTATATTTCCATTAAGAAGTGCCGTTTTTGGAATAATACTAAATTCACTGGTCAAGCCCTAAGACACTACAGCACCTCCTACAAATGAGAGACAGTCACTCCAAAGAGTCTGGCCAGCACACGAGCCAAAAGCTCAGCTCCTTAGAATTTCAAGGGATAGTGACTTGGAGACCAGCTAAGCTAGTCCAACCCCTCTCCTCCTCTGATGGTAAATCCTGGGTTCTTCCCACTTCACCAGATTACACGCAAATAGTGGAGTGATTACATTTTCACTCCAATGCTGATTTTTGTATAACTGAATTGCAAATCAGTCAATGAGCATTCATTAAGTGTCCCCTAAGTGACCATACTAGGTGATGTGGATACAAATACCAAAAAAAAAAAAAAAAAAAATCCCTACTTATAAAGAGCTTACATTCTAACAGGAGAGACAAGTTATTTGCCAAATGCTAGGTCTATGGTGGTAAAGAAAACAACTGCTACCTAAACTATCAGAGCAATTCAAATGATTTGATTCATCTGTTACTATGTTCACTGAATTGCCAAAAAGGCATCTTCATTTGCAATCTTTTAGAGGAACATACAAAAAAAAAGTAGCCTTGAGGGTCACAAAGGTCCTTCTATGGCAGGGTCCACCCCCATAGAGTACTCTTTACGAGAATGGTCCAGCAGCAATCAGCTAATTAGAAAGGATAAATGAATTCTCAGAACAATAAAAGTTGAATTTTATTGACAAAAATTACCTGATCAAAGCAATATCATCAATCAATCCACCTTTTCCATTATACACACTTGTTGCTTTGATTCCAAGTTTATTACTAGCCACAGAAAGCAAGTCTGATAAGGTTCCATACACGGCAACCACCTGTAAAGAAAACATTTTGTTAGCTAACCACTGTCATCACCCATGAATAAATCCATTTGCACCAGAATGAGGATTAGTTAACCAAACCACGCAAGAGCCATAATGGAAGGCCTATGAAGGCAGCCTGGTGTCAAGAAACACTTATGTGAATGACTTGTTTCTCAGTCATTTCTGACTCTTTGTGACCCCATTTGGGGTTTTCTTGGCAGAGATACTGGCTTGGCATTTCCTTTTTCAGCTCATTTGACAGATGAGGAAACTGAGGCAAACAGGGTGAAGTGACTTGCCCAGTGTCACACAGCTAGTAAGGCCAGATTTGAATTCAGGAAGATGAGTCTTTCTGACTCCACAATGGGCACCCTATCCACTGTGCCACCTAGCTGGCCCAAATGAATGACTAGACTTTCATTAAGTGCTTACTATATGTCAACCATGCCCTGGGCTAAGTGCTGGAGACAGAGATAGAAAAGTTCCAGCAACTCCTACTCTAATTAGGGCAGATGACACAAGTTTAGCTGCAAGGCTGATGGAAAAGCTTGGTTGTCGTTAAGGTCTAGCAGCAGGGCAGCTGGCAAGACCCAAGGATCCAGAGGGCACAGCACAAGGGCATGTGGGCCCTCATGTTACCAAAGAAGACTGTGGTCATTAACTCCATGCTCATCTGATCAGGACCTGGGAAGGTCCGTGGAGAGGGAAAGGGAGAAGGAGTGAGGAAGTGTTTGGGGAAGGAAGGTGCTCAGACCCATGACTGTTGGAAAGAGGGAAATGTGCCTGAGGGTCACAGGAGGAGTGGGTGTGCTTTGGGCTCTATTCTCTGAAAGTGAGGATGGTGGGGATGGTTTGCCTTCCCGCTGGGAAGGGGAATGGAAAAAAAGGAATGAGTAGGAAGGTTGGGGAAAACAGGAGATGTATAATATAACCCTACAGCATCAATCAACCAACAAGTATCTAAGATGACTGAAAGCATCTACAAATATCAAATACGGGGCAGAGAATCTCCCTCTGGACCTGATTTTATCCCAAAGGCTAGAATATTCAATTCAATAAGCATTTATTAAGTGCCTATTACATGCAAAGTACTGTGCCAGATATAAGAGACAGAATAACCAAACTGCTTCTGTCCCAAAAGTTTACCATTTGTCTTTGTGGGAAAAAGTAAAGGGTGTGAGTGTGGTATTATATGTACACAAGGAACTATAAGATGGTGGAACCATGGCAGGAATGACTGATGGCAGCTTATACACACAGCATAATTTAAAGAAAATAAAACTTGGGTTAGAGCAAGCACCCTGTTTAAAAACAAGCAGTCAGAGGACAACTGGAGGACAGTAGATAATCAGTTGGTCAGAAAAGGGTCAGAAAGGGAAACAGGAGGGGCCAGAGTGACAAACTTCTGAATTTTATGGGTGATTGAGCCATCAGAAGACTATGGTAAGACTAGACCAATGTCTATTCAGAAGTGGTCACGCCAAGTCTTGGGAGAAGTAGGGGTGGGTAGAATCAGGTGACAGGAGGGCAGAAGCACTGGAGCACGGGGAAGAAAGGCAACACAACAGAGGGACCCTGATTCCCCTGGGACAAAGTTGGCATGTTGGTCTGCTTCAGAACCTCCTGACCATCAGTCTGTCTTCTTTTCTTTCTTTCTTTCTCTCTCTTTCCATTTTTATATGTATCTTTTGGCCTCTCTGCAGTTGTTGTTTTTTTTCTCCCTTAATTTCTCTCCCCTTTTAGGCTGTCTCTTTATTTATCCCTTCTATTCCTTCACTGACTAACATATGACATTACAAACAGTCTTTCCTTTATAATTTTGTCAAATCAAAACGCATGCTCCTCTTTGATAAAAAAGGTGATTTTTCACTTTCTGCACTCCAAAGTCACCATTCAAAAGAGAGAACAAAAAAATACCTAAATGAAATTAAGTTGCTTTTTCTTTCCATGTAGACCTCATTTGAGAGTCAGTGATTCTCAAAACAAAGAGTTCTACATCACTCTTCTAACGAAGAGAATGAAATAAAGAACAGTATGCAGAAATAACCACATCAATTCTAGGTTAAAACCAGATGTCTTAGCAACTTGCATTATACAAATGTTCAGTATAGACTGAGCCCCATATTAACAATCTGCTGAAGTCCACACAACCTCTTTCAAAACCAATTTGCTGGTTTGAGGTTAAGAGTTGGGCTGTTTCCATCTTCCTCCATGTTCAAGTGAGATTGGTGCATGCAACAGAAAAATCTATCATAAACCAAAAAACCCACCCAGCACAGTAAAAGCTGATTCATTCATAGGGCAACCAGAGCCCAAGACGGGCCTTCCTCTAAGGAGCAAAATAGTTCAAAAACAAAGCCCAAAGTAAGAGCTGGGTCAGAACATCTCATTTAAGACACACACACACACACACACACACACTCTGCCATATTTATTAATCCACAAAATATTTTCCAATCTGATTTCCACTGTAACTAAGCTGGGTCAACATTCTCTGGCTTTAGACTGCCATAAATTATTAGCTCTAAAAGTACACAGGCAAACAGCTAAGGGCAAGGCTGATGTGCGTGAATGAACAAGCATGTTCCTGAGCGTTATATTTAATGTAGCTTTATGTTCTCTTTCAGCCCTTGAGATCTAGAAAATATCTGTGGAGTCATTGGAAATGGGAGATTCAACTTGGCTAAACGTTGGTTTTAAAGTTTTATGAGCCAGTTTTAATGCTTGGGAAGCAACCAGTTTTTTAGCAGGGTCAGATATTTTTGATTAGTCTAAAATTCATCAGTTTCCCTAGGGCTTCTCATTTTGACAAATATATTAATTAAATTAAGTCTAGCAGTTGAGAATCTCCCATAAAATAAAATATACAGTAGACCACCAGTTCAAGAAAAGGGGCCTAAAACAGACACCAATCATAGCAGAGGCCTGCATGTTTACAAATTTCCCCAAAGCTAGGCCAATGGAGCCTTAACCCATACTATTTTCTGTAGTTTTTCATTCCCAGTTTGATTTTGTGGATCAATTTAATTAATATCATGAGCCACATTTCTGACGGGCAATCTGTTTTAACAGACATGCTCAAATTCTCTCCCTGACATTGAACATAAACTAAACTGAACATTAGAACTTTTTAAAAAAAACGAGCTCCTTCAGGTCAGAGCCAGTTTGTTTTTTTTTTAAACTTTCTTTGACTCCCTAGCATTCTGGCATAGTGCTGCTGATAGTACATAGTAGGCACTTTATACATGTTCGCTGACTTCAAACTCTAGGACCTGGGGCTATGATACATGCAGAAAGTGCTTTGACAGAGCAAGAAGCTATTTCAAAGAAAAGGCTGTCCTTCTGATTCTAAAAGTATTCATCTGAAGAGGATCCAGTGGCATTTTATATTGATCTTAAACACTTTGGAGCAAAGGCAAGCAATGGAATGAGAATAGCAGTATTTCATTTCAAACTTTCCCTAGACAAAGCAGTCTTTGCAACTAAGCCCTCCATAGCTGGGCAGATGAGTTTCCTGAAATGTAGTGGCCAAAACAATTATTACCTGTGAATAATAGCTAGCATTTCAGGTTAGGGCAGATAGGTGGTGCAATGGATAGCATGTAGAGCCTGGGGTCAGGAAGACTCCAGCTCCTAAAATTCAAATCTGACCTCAGATACTTACTAGCTATGTGATCCTGGGCAAGTCACTTAACCCTGCTTATCTCGGTTTGCTCATCTGCCAAATGAGCTGGAGAAGGAAATGACAAACCACTCCAGTACCTTTGCCAAGAAAACCCCAAATGGGGTCATGAAGAGTCGGACATGATTGAACAACAATTTCAGATACACTGTAAGGTTTGCAAAGCACTCTACAAATACTATTTTATTTTATCCTCACAATAAGCTGGGGAGGTAGAAGCAATTATTATCACCCCCATTTTAAAGATAAGGAAACTGAGGTAAACAGAGGTGAGTGATTTGCTTCTGAGGCCACATTTGAACTCATGTCTTTCTGATTCCAGGTCCAGTGTTCTAGCCACTGTGCCATCTGGCTGTCTTGGGCGATAATCATTTGATGACATGACTATCCTTAGCTATGTGGATCCCATGAAGCCAATCTACTGCAGGGCTCCCACCCGAACTTCTTTCAGAGTAAGCCAGAGATCTCACTGAACACTGACCCAGCCTTCAAGAGCCCAGAGTGACTTCCATATCACACTGAGGCACCAAAGAAGGCCTTGAGTGACACTTCTATTCACTCATACTTTGCCAAAGGGCCATAACATTAACGATACATCTGTGTGGAATGGCGGACACCAGAGGTTCATGCTGATCAACTGCAAAAAGCAGGATGGTAATAACATGAATAGCTTAACGCTCATTCAGTAACAACATTTACATACTGCTGTAAGGTTTGCCAACTGCTTTAGAAATATGACCTTTTGACTTTCACAACATCCCTGGCAGGTAAGTGCTATTATTAGTCCCATTTTACAGATGAGAATCATCTTTGAGTCTTAGAAAGGCTCAGTGATTTGCCCAGGATCACACAGCTAGGAGGAGGCTGGATCTGAACTCCAGTTTTCCTGACTCCAAGTTCAGGGCTCTCTCCATTGTGCTATCTAAGTGAATGAACCTGTAAACATTTTTTTTGGTGGGGGGAGGAGGCACAGATACTCTTAGGGTATTGGTAATTTCCCTTTTCTGGGCAAGTCTGCTAAGATTAATTCCAACAACATTGAAGCGATGCTTGGCGATGGAAAGGACATAAGAGGGGTATATGATAGCTGCTTGAGGTTTAACTTTTAAACTTCAATAATTTAAGTTTTAAGAAAGAACTTTTTTTAAAAGGAAAGAAAAATGCTGAGTTTGGGACTGAGCGAGATGAGAGAGGACTGTGTTCCGTCCTTTCATTTGTTGCCCCCATGCCCTGCCTTACATTCTGCTTCTCTCTCTATACGTGGAGTAGCCTTCCCCAGAAGAGCTGCTGGTGGGGAGCTGAGATCTGGCCATTTGAAAACCTGGATCTA